TGATAAAGAGAACGCATTTTCAGCAGTTTCAAAACAGACACTCAAAACACAAAACACAAAACGAATTCAAAACTCAAAACACAAAACTGAAACACAAAGAGAACGCCCCCTTAGAGATCCCGTCCATGTCTTTCTCTCCATTTCCTGTCACGGTGATGAATATTTTATTGGACTGTTAACATGTTTTATTCATCTATTACCAAACCTGAATTAGTTTAAGCTGTATTTTGTTTGCATTTATGCTATCATTGTCGAACGGGCTCTTGATGTAAATTAGTAAACTCGAAATATATGTAGCCACCTTCGGCATATCTTTACATTTTAATTTATTTCTTTTTGTTTTTGTTCCTGAATATGTTGCATTCTTCTTTTTGACTAGTGGTATAGCAAAAAATTGGATGAGTATTTAAATAAAATGAACAAATATTTTGAGGGCATGACCTCCAAGAAGCTACAACGAAAAGAACTATCCACAAATGAAAGATCAGGTAGTTCAAACTTGAAGATTGGAACCCAGGTAAACCGAAGCTCATTGGAACGTGGAAACCAGAAATTCAAGGATCGGCCTAAGAATGTTATTTTGAATAAGCGTGTGTGCACATCAGTGGCAGAAACTCGGGTTCGTGATAATTGAAATTTTTTTTTGTTGAGTTTTCAGCATTTCTAACACTTAATTCTCGTTTCTGATTTAAAAAGATAGGAGAGGCACAATCACTTTCAATCGGTCACATGAGAATGTCTGGTTGCGGAGGAGTGAGAATAGGTCTAGGTTCATACATCCCTTGGTTAGTATTAGATTTTTCCTTTCTAAATGGTTCACTCGTGCATTTATTTGGTTGTAGAATGATCGGGATTAGGAATTTTCTTGATAATAGGAACAATTAGATTACGAATGTGCTATGATGTATATTTTCGGAATTTTATTGTGTGGTGAATGAAGGCAGGTGGATGGCTATTATCGAGTTTGATTTCTTTTATAAAGAAGTTTAAATTGTGGCACCTTGTTAAACAAGGTGGAAGGTCATTCTTCTCTCTATCATTGTGTTTCTATTGGATAAACAGACTAATTGCATTCATAATTTAACATTGTTAGTGTTCTTTCTTGTGGTAATAGCATTTCTATCTTTCCTTACCTAGTTCTATTTCTTTTATAAAGATGTTTAAATTGTGGCACCTTGTTTGTCAAGGTGGAAGGTCATTCTTCTCTCTATCATTGTATTCTATTGGATAAACATACTAATTGTATTCATAATTTAACATTGTTACTATTCTTTTACCTGTGATTTTATTGCAAATATTTCATGAATGTTTCTTTTTAGTCTATCACGCCAACCTTAATACAGCGTTCCTGTACAATTTGATTTATATAGTTAGATGCTCGTGATTGTAAAAATTGATTTATATAGTTATATGATAGCTTTACGTCTTATGGGGTAATGCTCCATATCTATGCTCCAATTTTTTTGAGGAGCCAGTATTTAAAAAAAAAAAAAGTTCTCCGCGTGGGCTACAATTTATAAATAATGTGTTTATCATTTGTAATTAGAACTACATATTTGATTCAAATTGAGGTCATTACATGTTTGCTAATTATTAATTATTTTGCAGTGCTATGTAGAAGCAGTATGACATAAAACGATATTGATGTCGTTTCATTAAAAAAATTGCACTGATTCACATAACGACATTGAAATCGTTCTCGAGACATAAAACGATATAAATGTCGTTCTAATATGAAAAACACACAGCTTTATTGATTTTCATAACGACATTGAAGTCGTTAAAGACCAATAAAACGACATAGAAGTCGTTATGTTAAAAAACTTGCACAGCGCGACCG